GTCAGCATCGACACGACCAAGAGCTCGGCAAAACATGGCGTTGCTACTGGGCTCGACATCACTCCGTCGACCGGAGCAGACCCGCCGTGTGTCTCGTGCGTCGGAGGAAAGTTGGCGCGGCACACCTTTCCCGACAAAGGCTCGGACGCCGAGGAGGCGTTGGCTGTCGTGCACATTGACTTGTGCGGGCCATTTTGAGTCGCTGCCAAGGATGGCAGCTTGTACTTCCTGCTGCTGAAGGATCGCCACACTCGATTTGTGTGGGTGATGCCTATCGCTAAGAAGAGCGACGTGCTGCGGGAGTTCTAGAGGTGGCTGGTGCTGGTGGAACGGCAGACGAAGAAGTCGGTGCTGATGCTCCGCTCAGACCGGGGAGGGGAGTTCCTCAGGAAGGAGTTCACCGACTTCGTCGACGGCAAGGGCATCGTCCACGACCTGACGTGCCCTTACACTCCGCAGCAGAACGGCATGGCTGAGCGGGAGATGCGCACGACCGTCGAGTCCGTGAGGACGATGCTGCTGAACATGGGCATGCAGCACCACTGGTGGCACCTCGCTCTACGACAAGCTGTCTGGGTGTGCAACTGCTTGGAGCGGTCGACGACGCCGCCGGGGACGACTCCGTACCAGCTGCTGATCGAGAAGAAGCCCGACCTCACGCTGGCGCGGGTGTGGGGCTGCATGGTGTAGTTCTTGGTCCCTGAGCAGCAGCGCGGTGGGAAGCTGGCGCCGAAAGCTCGCTGGGGGCTTCACCTAGGTGTATCGCTGGAGAGTAAGGGCTGGGAGGTTCTCGACCTGACCGACAACAAGGTAGTTACGTCGGTCGATGTAATCTTCTATGAGACGCTGTCGCTAGAGGTGTGGAAGGTGAAGTTTGGCCCCGCGTCGGGGCGGATGCAGGCGCACCCGCCGACGGACACCTCGACGGCGACGGTTCCCTTGCTCGCCGAGGTTGATGATCCTGCTGATGAGGATGTTGTGAAGGTTCTTCCTCCCCCAGTACTTGCTCCTCCCTTCCCCGTCACGGATAGGCCTGCGTCGACACCGGTGTCGACCACCGGCGATGAGGGGAGCCTTGAGGCGTCGCCTGTGGCGCCGGCCAGTGGCATCGCCGGCGGTCGACAAGACACCAAGCTCGTTGACCAGGATGGGAAGCCGTCGACGACAGGGGAGCAGCGGATAGGGGAGCCGGTCGAATAGGAGGCATCAGCAGGGGTGCACTCGACAGGGGAGCTGTCTAAGTTAGCAGGAGGTGAGCAGCTGGTCGAAGGTTCGAAGCAGCTGGTCCACGACGTGGAGGTGCCGACTACGAAGCCGGAGCTGCGACGCACAGGTCGAGCTCGACGGCCGCCAGAGCGGCTGAGCTTCCACGTCTGCCTACCGTCAGCTGCCCTCACCGCTGTGTACGACGAGGTCGACGATGACCCGTTGTACGACGACGCCGAGAAGGATGAAGAAATGTCGGAGCTCGACCCCGACATGCATGCAGACCCCGAACTCCGCTGGGACATCACCACGATGACGGTCAAGGAGGCGCTGGCGAGCTGGAAGGGGAAGGCGGTGAAAGCCGCCATGGAAGAAGAGATCTGCAGCCTCGTCGGCATGGGCACTTGGGAGCTGGTCGAACGCCCACGCGGGGTGAACATCATGAAGAACTGGTGGGTGTTGACGACCAAGTACCGCCTCGACGACACCGTCGAGCGCGAGAAGGCGAGGCTGGTCGTGAAGGGCTTCACGCAGGTGTACGGTGCCGACTACGACGAGACGTACTCACCGGTGAGCAGCTACGTCACGCTGAGGATTTTTATCAGCATCGTCGCCGTCCTCGACCTCAACCTGATGCAGCTCGACATGAAGAACGCTTTCCTGCAGAGCAAGCTCGATAGGGTGCTCTACATGTACCAGCCGGACTACTTCGACGATGGGACTGGCCGGGTGTGTAAGCTACTGAAGAGCCTCTACGGGCTGAAGCAGTTGCCGCTGCTGTGGTACAGGGCACTCGACGGAGTGCTGCTGGGTGCTGGCTGGAAGAAGAGCCAGGTCGACGAGGCGCTCTACTTCAAGGCCAGCGACGTCGGAGTGACCTACTGGGTGCTGGTCTACGTTGACGATCTGCTCGCCGCCAGCAGCAGCCCCGCGATGCTGAAGGAGCTAAAGGAGCTGCTGGAGGCTGCCTTCGAGCTACGCGAGATTTCGCCGGTCGTCAAGTACCTCGGGCTGGAAATCGTGCGCGACAGGCCAGCGAAGAATCTGTGGCTTCACCAGTAGGGCTACGCCGACAAGCTGCGTAGGTGCTTCATCGACGAGGAGCAGGGCGCTCGAGTCCCGAAGACGCCGGTCTCGGTCGATGCTTACGCCGAGTTGACATTCGACGACGAGGATGCATAGGAGCGCGAGGAGGAGTATCGGCAGAAGGTTGGCTCGCTGCAGTTCGCGGCGACAACGACGAGGCCGGACATCGCGTTCGCCTGCAGCAAGCTGGGGAGCGGCCTCACGGTGAGGAGCGACCAGCATTGGCGCGAGGTCGACCACTGCCTCGCCTACCTCGCTGACACTTGCGACACCGCCCTGGAATTCGGCGGTGGACCAGAGTCGCTAGAGCTGATTGGCTACGTAGACGCCGACGACGCGGGCGACAAGCAGAACCGGACGAGCACGGGAGGCTACCTGTTCGTCTACGGAGGGGGCGCCGTCTCCTGGTCGAGCTCGCGCATCAAGTGCGTGACATTGTCATCGACAGAGTCGGAGTACATGGCGGCCACGGATGCAAGCAAGGAGGGACGCCGACTTCGTTTCCTTCTTGCGGAATTCAAGCTTCTCGACGCTGGGAAGCCGACCATCCTCCGCGTCGACAACAAGTCGGCAATTACGGTCGCTGAGGGCTTGGGGCTGACGGGCAACCTCAAGCACATGGAGCGACGTTATGCCTGGCTGCAGCACATGGTGAGGCGCGGGAAATTCGTACTGAAGTACATCCCGACCACCGAGCAGCCGGCAGACTTCCTAACGAAGGCGCTGCATTTTCCGGCTTTCAACCGGTGTTCTGTCGCCATCGGCCAAGTTCGCTTGGATGACGTCAGCGACGGCGACGATGATGTGCAGCAGTAGGTGCCGTGCCCTCTTTTGCACGGCTGGTGCGATGACGGTGTGCTGTGTGAGGGGTGCACGCCGAGGACGAGTTTTCTCCGTAGTGTGCTGCCGTGTGGGCTGGGGGCCCAAGCGTCAGCGCGGCAGGGGAGTGTTAACGGAAGTGAAGTGTTGGCCCCACCCTCGCTTGGGCAACGCCGACGACTTGGTCGGATGTACGGGAGTAGCAGCCGACCATCCGCCGTGGGAGAGCTGCTCGACAGATTTTGTCGAGCTGCAGGGGACCGCTGTGGTATTGCTGTCGACCAGGGAACTCGACAGCTGCAACTGACTGGTCTGGGCGACGGATGGGCCGTCGACCAGGAGGGGCTGTTCGACCGGGAGGTTGACAGAGCAGTCCGTCGACCTGAGAGCTGAGCAGCGGTCGACGAGGGGAGCTCGTCGACAACAGTTGACAGTTCTGGCTGACGGAAGGGGTCCGTCGACCAAAGGGGTAGCTCGACGGGAGCTGTGGTCGACCAGAGGCACATGGGGTTGTCCAAGTCGACCGGGTAACCTGCTCAACGAGTTCTGCGGAAGCAGGCAAACGTCGTCGAGGTCGCGATGGCGAAGGCGACTTCGGGTTGGTATCCCGAAGTCAATGTGGCTCGTCAGGCGCAGATAACAGCCGACGGATGCACAATGGTGCAAGTCGGGCCAATCGTCTACGCGCATCTGCGAGCGTGCGCACTGCTGTCTTCTACGGGGCAACGCTGGACAGCCACTCTGCTGCAGTGTTGACCTGCTGTGTTGGCACACCGTCGACCTGCTGTGTTGGCAGGTCGCCTTTCTGCAGTGCTGGCGCGGCTCCTTTACGCAACGCTGGCAGGCGGTCGACCATGCTGTGCTGTCTGTCGACCAGACTAGCTGCAGAGTTGATAGGTGCCTGATGTAGTCATTCTTGTTATTTTTGCTTGTGGAATTCTAATTTTTGCTAGTGGAAACTCTTGCCAATTTCTCCCGTGAATGTGCAAGCACTAAGGAACTAGGCAAAGCTACCATCACTCCTAGAAGTTCGTGCCAACCTCGTAGTCTAGCTCACCACCGTTGTAGAGTGATTCTCCTCACCCCATGCCCGACGTACTGCACAAGTAGCGCAAAACCCTCTTAGCGACCTCCAAGTGCACTGGTCGGTGTCTCTCGGGCGCAACGTAGCGTTCAAGGATGCTAAGAGGGTATGCAAGGTCAGGTCGAGTGCAGGTCATCAGGTACATGAGGCAGCCCACAAGCTCTGGATATGGGCCACTTGGTTCTACGGACTCGTCTGAAGGTGGAGCTGAGAGCGAGTGACCGGTAGGCAGAGGAGTGGACTGTGGCGAGGAGTACCGGAAGACGAAGCGCTGAAGGACCTGCTGCACCATGTGTGATTGAGTCAGGGTAATGGTGCGCCGTGCTCTGTCCCGGGTGATCTGCAAGCCAAGATAGCTACGCAGCTCACCCAGGTCAGTGCAGGTGTGTCTCTTCTGCAGCTCCGACTTCACAAGGGCTAGTGCCTCAGTGTCAGCAGTGGCAAAGATCTGGTCTTCGACATACACAAGGACGTAGAACGGCGGCAGCAAAGTGTCGGTGCGTAGAAGCAGCGACGGGTCAGCAGTCAAAGGAGCAAACCCCAGAGCCGCAAGTGTAGTCCTTAGTGTGTCGTGCCACTCGCAAGGCGCCTGGCGGAGACCGTAGACTGGCCGCCGGAGGCTCCACTGGGTGCCTACAGGAAACGACCCAGTGAAGCCAGGTGGGCGGCGCAGCCAGATCTCCTCATGCAGGTTGCCCTGCAAGAAAGTTGTGCTGAAGTCCAGAGAGTGCAGCTCGTAGTCACGCTGAGCTGCGACGTGGAGAAACACCCGAAGAGTGGTCATCTTTAGGGTGGGGGAGAAGGTCTAGAAGTAGTCGACCCCCTGTCGCTGACTGAAGCCTCGAGCAACATAACGCGCCTTGAAGGCAGGTGGAGAACCCGGCGGCCGCTTCACCCTGAAAATCCACATGCCATCGACTATGTTCACCCGAGACGGGGGAACTGCGTCGACGTAGGTGCCTGTGGACTTCCAGGATGCCATCTTGGCGTCCATGGCTGTCTGCCACTGAGAGGAGTAAGGACCCGTAATCGCCTCTGCGTAAGAGCGCGGGGTCGGGATGTCTGGTGCATCCGGGTCTCCCTCAGGGGCAAGCAGCATGGCCACGAGATGAGGTACAGCAGCTGCAAGACACTCAAAGTCCTCCTGCCTGTCCTCAAGGACGTCCGTGCCAAGAGCACACTCACCCTCGATGGACGGAGGACTGGCAGACTCAGACTCAGCAACAAGAGCAGTGGCGTAGTCTAGACGACAGGCAGCAGCAAAGTCAAGCAGCTCAGCAACGAGGGCAGACGCAGCAGTGGACTCAAAAGAAGGGTCAGTGACAACAGTGGCGAGGAGACGAGTGACAGTGGGACTGGCAGCACGAGCGAGGTCAGACTCAGGGTCATGGACAGCAGGAAGAGAGGACTCAGGAGGAGCAGGCAGAGGAACACGCAGTGGAACAGAGGAAGGACGAAGTGCCATAGCGTGGGTGCCGGGGACAGGAGGAGGACGCAGATGAGGAACCCGACGACTAGTGCGACCAGTGCGAACAGCGCGTACAGGCGAGGCAGGACGAGACTCAGGCTCACGACGCTCCGTAAAAGAGTCTGTCTACTCAGCGTAAGGAGGAGCAGGCAGTGGGGAGCCTGTCTGTAACTGTGGCTGCGACTGGAGAGGCGGTGGACTCAGTAAGCTAGGAGGAAGGCCAGTAGAAGAAGGGAGACTAAGAGCCTGGCGAAGAAGGGGAACAAGAAACGGTCGCGGCCGCACAGTGCCTCCAGCACCAGTACCGCCAGACATAGCACCCCCAGCGCCAGCACCTCCAGCTCCAGGGTCAACAGCTCCATTATCTCCAGCTCCAGATCCTCCAGCTCCAACGCCACCAGCGCCAGCTCCTCCAGCTCCAGCTCCTCCAGCTCTAGCGCCACCAGCGCCAGTGCCTCCAGCTGTAGCACCTCCAGCCCCAGCACCTCCAGGCTCCGCAGGCCCTCCAGCTCCAGCTCCTCCAGCTCCAGCGCCCCCAACACTACCAGGCCCGGCAGCTCCAGTACCTCGAGTACGAGCACCTCCAGGACCAGCAGCTCCAGCACCTACGGTACCACCAGCTTCAGCAGTAACTCCAGCACCGCCAAGACTAGTAGCTCCAACACCTCCAATTCCAGTGTCTCCAGCTCCGGCAGCTCCACTCCGAAGGCGTGTGCGCTGAGCAAACCACTCGCGCAGCAGCTGCTGCGGGGAGAGAGGCTTCGGCCGGGAAGACAGTCGCGACGAGGCACCCGTAGGACCTCCAGAAGACGCAGTACCCTGAGGCTCAGCACCCCCAGACTCCGCACCCTTAGACTCAGAGCCCCCAGGCTCCGCACCCTCAGGCTCAGCACCCCCAGGCTCTGCACCCCAAGGCTCAGCACCCCCAGGCTCCCCACCCCCAGGTTCAGCACCCCCAAACCAAGCACCCTCAGACCCAGCACCCGAATCTACAGCGACCTCAACAGGTACAATATCAGGGAGTGGGTCTACCTGAGACACACCTGAGGGAGCAGGACCCTGGGGGTGGAGGGGGTCTACCGGAGGGGGACCTTGAGCAAGGAAGAGCGGCGGGGGTGTGGGAGGGGCAGAGCGGTAGAGGAAGAGACGGTAAAAGGGAACCGACTCGTCAAACGTGACATCCTGAGAGGGGAAGACACGGCGCGAGGTGGGGTGGAAAGCCAAGGAAGACGCAGGGAATAGCGCGGGCGGAGAGCTTGTCCGCGGATGTATCGCAAACAAAGGCACGAGAACCCCAGACCCGGAACACCGACGCATCGCCAACCTCCCCCGTCCAACGCAGTGTAGGCGAGGTCTCCGGCAATGAGACACGGGGCCAGAGGTTGAGTTGATGCGCAGCGTACCGGACCGCAAACGGCCACAGAAAATGGGGAGCAGCCGCATGGATCATGGAGGTACGAGCGACGCTCAGCTATCACATTTTGCTGAGGGGATTCCGGAAGCGTGAACGATTTGAGAATGCCCTCCCCACGACAAAAGTCCCGCAAAAGGTCAGAAGAGAACTCATCACCTCTGACAGAGTGTAGTCGCAAGACAGGAAGGTCCTGGCGAAACTGCTCGCGGAGCTGGAGACGGATTGCGCGGATGTCAAAGTAACGAACGAGAATGAATGAACTAGCAAAGACTTGGGTACATGTGCTAACCCTAATTGGGTTGTACCCCTTATGGGCTACCCCACTACACCCTACACACTGTAAGCTATATATAAGTTTGACTGCGGATCCAAGGGATCAAGACATCAGGGACCTCACCCTTGCTGCGCAAGGGGAAGACTGTGGTGTAACGCGCGTAGTCGTCAACAACCAGCAGAAAGTAGCACTCGCGGCCCTGTCTACTGACGCGGGCTGGGCCCCACACGTCCATGTGGAGAGTCTGCAGGGGAGCTGTTGTCGGGGGAAACGAGGAGGAGTGAGGAGCGGAGCGCTGCCGCCCCTCGACGCAAGGAAGGCAGGGCGGGGCAGGCGAGGGTGGGAGGGGAGGTAGAGACCTGGGAAGACCAGAGACAAGGAGGCGGGAGTGCATGCCACGAAGGCGTGGCAGGGAGGGGTGACCAAGTCTGTGGTGCCACAGGAGATTCTGGTGCAACAGGAGGCGACACGAGCAGGGGGGTGCTACCTGACATGACGCTGACACCTGGGCAGACGCAGCTACCTGAGGAGGCTCGGTAGCCAATGTGTACAGACTCAACCCAGGCCGACGAGTGAACGTGGCCAGGTGACGGCCCGTCCGTGTACACGTGCAGATCGACACACGCTGGCCCCGAGGAGTGGTGGTAGTGACCATCGCATCCTGGAGGGCAGCGGTACTCACCAAGTTCGTAGAGAATGAGGGGAGGTGAAGGCCTGACGGTGAGCCGGACGGAACCGCCGGACACGGGAGAACAGTGGAGGAACGGGCAAGGACTGGGGCCCCTAAGGGGTCAGCTAGTCAAATTGGTAGAGGTGCAGAGAGAGGAGTGAGGGTGGTGCTGTTGCGAAAGAATCAGCGTGAAGCACCTGTGTCAAGTGTTAAGGTGTGCAAAGCGCAGCAGGCGCAGTACCAGGGAGAGCAGACTCACTAGCACCTAGAGCAGCAGCCTCTATACCTGGGTCAGGCGGCACACACAGGGAACAGTCACCCTCAGCACTAACAGACAAGGCATACATAGCAGCAAGGATAGCATCATAGTCAAGGTCAAAGTTAGCAACTCCAGACCTAAGCAGCTCTGCCCACCGGGGGCGCTCGGCCTCGTCACCAAACTCCGTGCGCCAAGCGTTGCCTAGGCGGGAGAAGCAGCGGTGCTGAGTGTGAGGCTTCCCGCATGTCTGACCAGCACGGTCACCCGTGCGAATGACATACGGGCAACTACCACTACCCCCAGACGCCCCACGCTGAGAAAACCACTCACAAAGCTGCTGGGGCGACGGGGTCTCGCTCCGACGCTGCTGCTGCTGCCTGCCTGTGGCCGCCGCCAGAACCTCCTCTCTGAACAGCTCCAGCCCTAGTGCCACCACTCCCATTGCCGCCACTGCCGCCACCCCCACTGCTGCCACCACCACCGCCGCGAAAGCCCCCACTCCCGCCACCACTCCCACCACCGCCACCACCTCCACTACCTCCACCACCTCCACTGCTGCCCCCACCACCACCCCTGCCACCCTTGCCCTTGCTGCTGCGGCGCTTCCCACTAGCAGAAGCAGCCCCGACATCCTCAGAACCAAGGACGTCAACAGCAGCAGCAGAGGCGTAGGAGGGGGCAAGGGGGGAGGGGGAACACCCCTCAAAGAAGGGCGTGCGAGGAGTGCCACGAGCAGCACCTACAGTGACTACACTAGTCTCAGCTGCAAGGAGGTGCTGCTCGAGTAGGTCAACAGTGAGGTCTGTAGGGTCAAGTGCGAGAAAGTGGTCCCTGACAGCGCGAAGAGAGTCAGGGACGCGAGTGACTATAAAGTAGAGAGTGATGTACATCGGGGGAGGGTTGTTGGAAAGGAACTCTGCTGGGAGGGCAGCGCGGTAGCGAGCGTCGCTAGTGTGAAGGTGGGAAACAAGGTCCTCTACTGTGGCAAAGGTGGACAGCTCGGGAAACAGGTAGGGCAGTAGAAGACGGCCTAGAGCAGCAGTGGTAGGGGAGGAGTAACGGGCGACTACTGCGTCGTACAGTGCCTGAGCAGTCCTGTGATGTCCGAAGTGAGCGCATTCGGCTAGCGGTAGGTGGTTGCGAATCGCTAAGCAAGCAGCAGCATCACGAGTAAGCCACTGTGAGCAAGTCGCACTGTTAGCTGTGGCGGGAGGGGCGAGAGAGGCTCCAGACGTGTGGTCGAAAAACGAAACGCTGTCTCTAGAGTCGCTCAGTAGGTACAACTATAAGTCGTCGATCCACGTGTCGAACTGGATCGGACGGCCCTCATGATCAAACATGAGGACATGGAGAGAAGCCATAGCGGGCAGAGCAGGGTGGCGCGCTACCAGCAGAGCAGCACCCAGGCAGGGTAGGGCGGCGCACGGCTAGGGTGGCCAGCAGCAGAGCGGGCAGGAGCTGGGCGGTGCAAGCAGCAAGGGGTGGCAAGCGGGTCGCAAGGGGCGGCGAGCAGGCTGCAAGGGGCGGCGCGCGAGCTGCAAGGGGCGGCGAGCGGGCCTCAAGGGACGGCGGGCGAGCCGTAAGGGGCGGCGCGCAGGGCGGGCGGCGCGCGGGCCGCAAGGGGCGGCGAGCGGGCCGCAAGGGGCGGCGCTCGGGGCTGCAGGGGCGGCGCACGGGGCTGCAGGGGCGGCGTGCGGGGCTCCAAGGGCGGCGCGTTGGGCTGCAGGGGCGGTTCGCGAGCTGCAGGGGCAGTGCGCGGTGCTGTAGGGGCGGTGCGCGGGGCTGCAGGGGCAGCGTGCGGGCTGAAGGGGAGGCGGGCGGGCCGCAAGCAGGCGGCGCGCGGGGTGCAGGGCGGCGGGCGGGCCGCAAGCGGGCGGCGCGCAGGCTGCAGGGGCGGCGGGCGGTCCGCAAGCGGGCGGCGCACTGGCTGCAAGGGCGGCGCGCGGGCCGTGAGGAGGAGGCGAGCGGGCCTAGGGGCGGCAGACGGGTCGCAAGCGGGCGATGCGCGGGCTGCAGGGGCGGCGCACGGGCCGTGACTGTTAGAATCTTAGGCGAGGATGATTGACTAGGAAACAAGGAAGGGTACAAGTAGAATGTCGAGAGAATTCTGTACCCCCTAAGGCTAAACCCACTATAGCCTAGACAAATGTAAACACATGAACTAAGCCTAGATATAACTAAGCATATATGTTTGACACACCCCCATAGGCGAAGTGGGGGATAGCCAGAACAAGTAATGGTCACAAGACCAGTCAAGAAAAGCAAAGCAAGCTCAGGGTGGATCACAAAGTCACCACACAGTCCGAGCACAAGCAAAGGGCCAAAAGGCCAGTTCACATGCAGAGTTATATACAGTGAACAAACAATACAGTGATCATACTCTAACAAGTGCAAGCATGCAGGTATATAGATAGATCACAGTACAGGCAGAGTCAGGCAGTAAGTAAGTGAAGCAAAGTAGGCACAAGGCCTAACA